TAGGGTTTTAGGGTCTTAGGGCTTAGGGATCTTTGGGGTTTAGAGATCTTTAGGGTTTAGGGATCTTTAGGGTTTAGGGATCTTTAGGGTTTAGGGATCTTTAACGTTTAGGGATCTTTCGGGCATGCTTTAGGGTGTGGCAGTGCAGGGCTCAGTTACTGCAGCTTGAGGGCTCTGGGAGCACTTGGCCCGACCCCATGGGACCGGAGTATGGGTAGTTCTCCAAATTTTGTCCCTGTTTAGGTCCCCAAAATCGCACGGCACTCTGATAACAATGACCCTGAAAGGAATCCTAATTTAGAGAACTGCACACATGTTTCCAAAAGCTGGTGCAAAGGCCCCGCGAAGGTCTTCCGAAACGAGCCCAGTAGGTCGTGGCATCCTATATCCTTTAAAGCCTTTGCAAAAGCCGCGAACCCTCGACCCAAACCCGAATAATCCCTAAATCCTCAGCCTTTGTAATCCTTAAACCCCAAACCCCAATAACCCCTACACCACAGATCCTAAAAATCCCAAACCCCAAACCTTACATCGCAAACCCCAAAACCCTAAAGCCCGAAAACCCTAAACCCTAAAACCCTAAACCTTAAACCCTAAAACTCTAAAACCCTAAACCCTAAAACCCTAAAGTCATAAATCCTAAACCCTAAACCCTAAAACCTTAAAGCCCTAAAGCCCTAAACCCTAAAACCCTAAACCCTAAAAGCCCTAAAGCCCGAAAACCCTAAACCCAACCCGGAGGTCTGAGCTTCGCGGCCGATCATCTTTGCTGACTTCGACCTGGTCATATCCTCGCAGGAAGCGAAGCCCTCGACTTGAGCTGCCGGGCCTTAGGGTTTAGGGCTTAGGGGTTTGGGGTCTTAGGGTTTCAGGGTTTTAGGGTTTAGGGGTTTAGGGTTTTAGGGTTTAGGGTTTAGGGTTGCAGGGTTTAGGGGTTTAGGGTTTTAGGGTTTTAGGGCTTAGACCCTCAGGAAAAAAAGGAGAGAGGGGAAACTTCAACTGCGAGGCCGCAGGGAAAACCTCTCGACCCTGGGATCCCTAAACCCCAGTCTCGACCCCAACACCCTCATGTCGGAGCCTTCATAACTAGAATTTGGGGGGTGATTGCGGACAGAAGTCTGAGGCGAGTACTATAAAGGATGAATAGTATGCTTAGAATCGGTACACTGCAGAACTCCGTTATGTAGGGGCCTTAATAACTAGAATAGGGTTTGGGTGTAGATTATACTATATTTATAGAAGAAGGACCCCTCAGAACCCTATTCTAATTATTAAGGCCCCTACATCAAACCCCTGAACCATGAACCCCAAACCCTTGACCCCAAGCCCTAACCCCCAAACCCTGATCCCTATAACATAGGGGCCTCAAAAATTAGAATCGGGTTTTGGGAGGGGGGGTGTATTACATTGTCATGCTATAAGTGTAAAAAAATTAGCCACCCTAAACCCTAAACCCTAAACCCTAAACCCTAAACCCTAAACCCTAAACCCTGTTATCCTCATTTCGAACCCCCTCATCCCTGAACCTGATGGTCCTCCTCCTTCTTCTGGTGCAAGCCATGCCCCTTTCCACCGAGCCTCGGTTCGCATGTACACACCTTATAGTATCTTATGACGACCCTATTCTGACCCCTACAAAAACTCTATACCCTAAGCCCTAAACCCTAAACCCGAAAACGCCCTACACAACTCAACAAAAACCTTATGATACGCACCGGGAAGAGGCTCCCTGGCGAGCTGAGAACAGCAAAGACGAAAGGAAAACAAGCCTGTTTAGGGGTGTAGCGCTGCAGGGCTTTAGGGGCACCACAGATGACGTGAGCTGAAAAAGAGTCAACCACGCTTTGGATTTCAGGTTTTGGTTCAGGGAATATGGCTTAGGGTTAAGGGCTCTAGGGCTCAGGTCCTCCAAGGATTGTAGGGCTGCTTGGCGGGTCGAGAGTTGTTGGCTTCGGCCGTGTCTTGTACTTGTTCCGCCCCTGCTCGAAACAAACCTAAACCCCCAAAGGTAGGTAAAATACTGACCCAGAACCTCTAAAAGGCTATTATTCTACATACTTTTGGGGTCCAGGAATGAAAAGACCACGACACTGATGGGAATGATAGATGAAAACGTGAAAGTAGCTGACACGGTCACGGTGGTGGCACCATGAAGAAATTGTGGCAGCAGTGGCAGGAATGACAATATGAGACTTTCCGACAAGTAGTGGTACCTTATTTTGGGGTCCTTATAATAGGGATCCTACTATTTAGGGTCCTATATTTGGGTCCCCTATTTCCTGAAACCCCCATATGGTAAAAGCAACGTTGGCAAAGTGAAGGTCAGCAAACAATCAAGGCAATCGTTGCGATGAGATCAAGAGTGCTAGTAACAAGTATCGGCAGAAATATTCACAACGAGCATCAATACCTTCCAGAACAGTAGTCGCAAATATACAAACGAGAACAAAACTTATGACTTATGATACTTTCGACTTTTGATACCAAGGACAGCCAGATCAGCAATCGCTCGGTCAACAGGCGTTTGCTCCAAGCAGTAGTTCGGATGACATCACCAGCTTGCGGATAAGGCCGCTGACATGAACCGACGTCGATTGTGTTGGCAGTGGTGGTGGTATTGATAGCACGTAGCCGTCAGCTTGATATGAGAACAGCAATAGCACTAGCACTCCCAGCAGTTTCGGTGCTGAATGTACGAACATATGTTTAGCAGATCTTCTCCTCTGTCTACGAGAGGATGCTCGCGGAGATCTTGAGGGCACGACTGGACCAACCTGTCCATCAGGACGAAGTGGTTGTTCGCTTCTGCATGCGCCACCTCGGACAGCAACACCCAAACTCTGCAACCCTAACAGCCTGAGACCCCTAAGTACGGGGCTCAGAGTAAAACCCTGAACTCCAAGACCCAAAACCCTAAACCCAATGTATCATCAGAATGGGTCTTGGGGCTTAGGTTTGGGGTTGTGGTCTATTCTTGGTGGGAGTAATGAGTAATTGTAGGGAGATATTCTTACTGGTTAGTCCGAGCCCTGTGTTAGGCTGCAGGCTGCAGTGTACTCGCGGTCATCCTTGGCGTTCATGTCCGCACCCACCTCCAGGTTGACCAGGGGTTCCCTAAACCCTAAACCCTAAACCCTATTAGGGGGTTTAGGGTTTAGGGTTTAGGGTTTAGGGTTTAGGGTTTAGGGTTTCAGGGATTTGGGTTTGGGGGTTCTATCGGGTTCAGGTTTAGCCTTGGCTCAGGTTCAGGTTTAGTCTTGGCTCAGAATGTCTCCTTCACTGTCACACGGTTTCTTCCTAAAGTCTTGTTACCTGGGACACCCCTTGCCCCGGGTTCCATTTGCACCGTAGCCACGCCGATTTTGTCCATTCACCATGGCAGCACTGTGTCGAAGAGTATGTTTAGAATCGGTGCAGTGCAGAACTCCGTAATATAGCGGCCTTAGTGACTAGAATAGGGTTTTGGGGCCCACTATACGATAATTGTAATAAGGAGCCCCCGCCAAAATACTGTTGATGATATAACTCCTGCATTACCTTAAGGACCTGACACTATGGGAATTATGGTATATTCCTTAATATGGGTAATGCAGGAATTTATATCATCAACTGTAGCATTCGTAATTATTAAGGCCCCTTATGATACCAGCAAACCCTAAACCCTAAACCCTAAACCCTAAACATCTGGCAGCTTGCCCGGGCAGGAGTTCAGTACAGAGGATGGCGAGCATCTACGGGCTTTGAGCTTTTAAGGGTTGAGGGTTTAGGGTTTAGGGTTTAGGCTTTAGGGTTTAGGGTTTAGGGTTTAGGGCCTAGGGTTTGTGGGGTTTAGGGATTAAGGTATGTCCGTGGCTCCTCTGCCCTGTGGCTAAGCTTGATGATCTCTCCCAACTAAAGACCCCAAACTTTAACTTTAAGAGATCCCAAACACTTGATACTCTCCTTCGCCTGGAAAATGGGATCCCTGCCTCTTTAGGCCTGAAACCCAGACTACAAAGTAGTAACCCCAAGGGTCCAAGTACCTAGCAATCATATACTCTCCCAAATATTAACCTAGAGAAAGTACCTATAATTCTTGGGTCCTTTGGACCCTTAGGGTAATGGTAATTTATATAAGCCCAATCTTAAGCCCGAAGTCGTGCAGCCTCGAGGAGCAACATGGTGGTCTTCATGTTCCCGCCGGCGGCCTGGACTAGGGATTAATGTAGGGGCATTAATAACTAGAATAGGGTTTTGTGGTTTTTATACTCTGTTTGTAATAAGGAACCCCGCAAAATAGTATAGGTAATTGTTTAGGCTTCTATATTATGCTCTGGCGACCTCCCTTTTCTCAAACTCTGCTTTGTCGGGAACGGGATGTCCATTGCCAGTCGATTGTTTCCGAGGTCGTTTCCCAGGACATGATACTGATACATGTAGACGCAAATGGGTACAGATGGATACTTGCTTGAGGATGGGCTTACCCTTTTACCGACATGTACGTAGTGTTGTTTGTCGTGCTTTTGATCCTTTCAATTCGGCTTTTGTTCAAGAACAACAGCAGTGTTGATGTGCTTTTAGTTGTACACATACATATTCACACACATAAAAATAAGAGATATGTATGTGTATAAACATATACACACATGTATGGCAATATATGGAGAATCATCCATCCGACCCGCGCTGAGGCCAGTTCCGCCACATGGATCGGTGTCTTCTTCTTGACATCCTTGATGTTGACATCCGCACCTCATGTGGCCGCACGACATTTTGGACATACACCGCAATGCCACGAGTAAACCCCACCAGCACTGTCTAGGCTGCATCTGCACGTCTAGAGGAGACCGCCTGGGAGTAAACCCCACCAGCCCTCGTCTAGAGGAGACCGGCTGGGAGTTCCACCCCACTCAAGAAGACGGCAAACGCCATCTACATCGTCATTGGCCGCTGCCACGTGGAGCGCGGTCCTGCATGTCAGATGATGGACGACTCTGTCCTTAACCTCAAAACCGAAAAAATGCACGAGAAACTGCAACCCAGCTCTCTTCCGAAATAGGGGGGGAACCTGAAGGCTTGTAAAGGACCCCAAGAAGGGTTGAGAGGGTTTTAATTAAGTGTTATGTAAGGAGGTTCCTGGCTCTGCTTCATGGCTTTCAAGTTAGGGGCAGAAGGGCCTTCCCTGTGCGTCTGCGGAGTTGACTTTGACACCGTAGGTGTGGAGGAACTCCATCAGATCGTAACCTGAAGCTGCTTGGACACTTTGTACTAACGTAGGGGGCCTTAATAATTAGGATCGTGTTTGGGGGGCCAATATACTATACTTATAATTGTGATAAGGAGCACCCAAAATATAAGAGGTAATTATTAAGGCCGCTACATCATGACTTTGTAGTAAAAAAAGGGGCCTTCATAATGAGAATAGGGCTCCTTTAAAAGGGTTCCTTTAAAGGGTTACTATAAGGGTTATACTGTTATACTATAAGGGCTTAGTATAAGGGCCTTAAGAATTAGAATAGGGTTTTGGAGTATACTATACTATAATTAATTAGATATAATAAGGAACCCCCAAAATAGTATAGGTAGTTATTAAGGCCCCTACATTATGCTGCTCTCAATCACGCTGTTTGTTCCCTTGTGGTACCGTCACTACTTGAGGTTGGCTAGGCATATAACTCTTCAGAAGCACCTTTACTGTCTCCAGGATGAGCTGAGACTGCGGCGCTTGTTCTTGGTGACAATGTTGAAGGCGGTCTCCCCCTGGCGATTCGGGTTTCACCCTAAATCCTAAAACCCTAAAATCACAAACCCTACGCGGTTTAGGATTCCGGGCTCAGGGTACGGAATTTCAATATGGAGCTGCTTTGGTTCAGACAACACGCGAGTTGAAGACCCCTGATGTACTGCATCTCCCATTCCAAGCTCAAGTTTCGTGCCTTGTTGGTCTTGGCGGACAGGTTGGCTCCGCGACGGTAGCAAAGCTTCGCCAGGCCCATGTTTCCGGTATGACAGGCCTGCCGGTCGCCATGACGAACCGACCCTAGAGATAGCAGCAAGAAGACTCACAGTGCAGCAGTAGGATTGATGATCTTGTCTTTTGCTGGTGCTTCCTGGTTCTGGTGCTGCTGTTGTTGTGGCAGTGGCGGAGGCTGCAGCAGCAGGAGGAAGAGGAGTAGCAGTCATAGCAGCAGCAGCAGCAGCAGCAGCAGCAGCAGCAGCAGCGGCAGCAGCAGCGGCAGCGGTAGTAAGTAAGAAGCACATGGCAAGAACACAAGTTGTGGCACTGCTACCACAAATAAACACGACAAAAGCAAGAGCCGCTGCAACCCCGGTCTATCAACTCTGAGGTGCACACATACTCCAGCAAGGTCTGCTCAGTCAACACATCTCTGGCATCGATCTCGGTTGTCTCCTTAGGCCACAGACAGGTGCCATAAATTTGTGAGATAGTGCAGAACTTGCGAATGTGAAACACCATACACCCTAAATCCTAAACTCGGTACTCTAAACCCGAATCTTGAAACTTCCAAGCCTAACTTTACCGGCAAAGGCATTATGGGCAATTATGGGACTGTTGAGCCCTTTTCAGACAAGGCCATCCTTCTTGCATCGAAATGTCCAAAAGCCCTAAACTCTACCTGAAAAGCACTGCTGCGTGGGAAGACGGCATTTTCCATCTTTGTGCTATCGCACCGGGCTGTTGTCCACCTCAAGGTTACCGCGTGCTCCGGGAGTTGCATCTTGAGCGACGGGATACTCTGCCAGGTCTTGTCCCTTAGCATTCAAAGGCCACAGACAAAAAGTACGAATCGTAAGAGCAATGCTTAATAAACGATAGTAGGAATGCGAGAATTGCGAACAAATGCTAATGTTGCTCAGTATGCTGCTCATACAACAAGCAACATTAAGAGTACGACTGACAAGAACCAAGGATCATACCACTGAGAGAAAGCATACTACCAACTACCAACAATTGCAAGGATACTGGTGCGAAGAACAATTATAGTGATAGTAATGCTAGCAGTACTAGTAGCGCTAGCAATAGTCGTCGTCTGGTGGTGGCAGTGGCAGTAGCAGTAACAGTAGCCAGAGTAGGAGCAGTAGCAGAAGCAGCAGTAGCAGTAGCAGCAGCAGCAGTAGCAGCAGCAGCAGCAGCAGTGGCACAGGCAACGACAGTAATGTTATTTCTATATGCAAGCACATGGATCACGATTTCGTGTAGAGCAGCGACCTCCAGAGCTCATCACAAGTAGGATTACGCTACTGATGCTGAGCTTGGCGCCTGAGGATCCAGAAGCAGCATTTCGGTTCCGAACTGCGTGACCGGAGGCATCTTCTGTGGCCAGTAGTTTAGGGATGATGCCAGCGTAAGTACCGAGGGGACGAGGCAGGTGCGAATCACAAAGGTGTCCATGAGAACACCGAAGGCCATCACAAAGCCGATCTGGTTGTTGCTGGGAACATCACTGAGAAGTAGCCCACAGAAGGCGATTGCCATAATTAGCCCTGCGGAGGTGATGGTGGGGCCTGTCAAGCACAAGCCTCCTCGCACCGCCACCTCATTACTGTAGCCCCGCCTTCGGAGCTCAATGACACGAGCAAAGAGGAAGACGTCATAGTCGAGAGCCAAGCCAATGATGATGGTACCTGGCTCCCATCTTTAATCCTTTTGGGGTTTTCTTATAACAAGCATGTAAAACTGTATCCAACAAGGACCCAGGTACAGGTGAACACCGGAGCTGCCCAGTAGAAGCCTCCCCCGGGAGGGGTGGTGAAGGGGTTGTTGCCCGGGCCACCGGGCAGCCAATTGAAAGCACCATCTTGGTAAACCCAGACGGCAATCCCGAACACAGCGACTAGGGGCACCACGACGGTGATGAACATCTTGATTGGGGCCAAGGCGGCCCGAAATGCAAAAGCGATCAAGGAGAAGACAATGAAGACTGTGCCAGAGACAATGTAGGGAATCCGGCCATATGTGACTTCAACGATGTCAAACACCACGGTGAGCGTTCCGAACAGCATTGGCTTCGAGGAATCCTGAAGGCGACGCCCCAGAAACAGGCTCTCCGAGATGTCCTCCTCTTCACTTTGCCCCGTGGCCTTTTTGATGGCACCCCGTGCGGCAAGCACGAAAGGCCAGAGGGTGTCGCTATAGGGATCGAAAGGCACGGTGATGGCGATCAGGGCCGTGTCTTCCCTCCGGGAGCTGACCAACTTGCCTGGGTCCCTGTGATTTACGGGTTCCCGGTTTAGGGCTTAAGGTTTAGGGTTTATAGGGTTTAGGGCTTAAGGTCTCTATTATAGGGTTTAGGCTTCTTAGGGTTCTCGTGTTTAAGAAGTAGATATGGAGGCTCGTACCACAGCAAAGCAAAAAGGATCCCCAAGACCTGAGATTGACCAAGCGGCCCCATTGCTCTCGGTAGGCCTCGCCAAGGTCGTTTGGAAGCTCCAAGAGCGTCTCTGCGGTGAGCAGGCCGAAGGGATGCAACTCGTCCTTCTTCGTGGAGTTCCATCGAAGGCACTTCAAACCCGAAGCGTTCCCTTGCTCTTCCTGTGCCGCTGGGAGTGGCAGAAGAGCCGGCCCCAGTAGGTCGGAGGCTTGAAGATTGAAAGGTGGGACGGAGAGATCCTCAAGAAGGATCTGGGCCAAGTGGCAGGAGGCGTCGAAAAACTCGTCACTTCGCACGCTGCCGTTGCTGGCCGGCAGCAGAACGTACTGCGGGCTGAGCTTCCCAGCTGGGAACTCTCGGGTAAGGTGCTGATAGGCAATGCTGGTGTCTGAGTGCGTAGGAAAGGTCAGCTGGTTCGCAAAACTCTCACGGTAATGGAACAGCACCGCGCATGCTGGGAGCAGGAATGCCAAGCACACCAAGGGCACCACAATCACTCCCGGTCTCGTCGTCACAGCCCTTGCGATAGCCGGCCAACAACCTTTACAAGCTCTCCCACAAGGCCCCCGACATCCGGCTCTCCTGTCAAGCCTTCGCTTCAGGGCTTCGGCTCCAAAAAGCCCCGGGAAGGCACAGATCGTGCAAGGGGTCAGCGTGAGGTTCGAGGCCGCACAGAGAAAGACCGTCAGGGAGGCTCCGAGCCCTATGGTGGCGATGCCGCCGCTGGGGTAGAAGAGAACACCTGGGTTGTGGCTTCGGGGCCCTGAAAAAGGATTTAGGAATAGGTTCCTCTATAAGAACCATAAGGGAACATGTTTAAAAGTTCCCCAAAGTGCCACCTAGACACCCATGTAGCAAATGATCAACACGGAACTGCTGATCAGGACCACATGGCCACTCCTTAGATCGCGAAGCAGCTGATCCCCAACTCAGCCTCTTTTGCAGAGCAATTAAACCGTAATTACCTGTAGTCTCCATTGTAGTTCGTTTTTGGGGATCCCTTATAAAATCCTTAATATATATTTGGTTAAACCAAAAAAAGGAACTACAATGGAGACTATAGGTAAGCTTCCCAAACATCCTAAACCCGAAAACCCTAAACCCTAAACCCTAAAACCCTAAACCCTAAACCCTAAACCCCAAACATCCTAAACCCTAAACCCTAAGTTGCATCCCTGCTTCTGTCTCAGCGTGGACCGGAGTGCGGCCTCCGTCGAAGCCCCGGCCTCCACTTCCTCGGCGTAGCGCGTGAGCCTGTGTTAAGGAATCTAGGGTTTAGGGATGCTTAGGGTTTAGGGAGGTTTAGGGTTTAGGGTTTAGGGTTTAGGGTTTAGAGTTCAGGGATGTTTAGGGTTTAGGGTGCAGTGTTTAGAGATGCTTAGGGTTTAGGGGTTTGGGGTTTCGGGATGTTTAGGGTTTGGGGGTTAGGGGTTTAGGGATGTTTGGGGTTTAGGGTTGCCAAGTTACCATAATAGAGATCTAGAATAAGAAGGTATGGTAATAAGAACCCAGGAGCATGAACAGAGAGTAGTCAATGGCCAGGGCAATACCCAAAAAGGCCATCGTGCTGGGCGCGAGGGGTGAGATGTCGACGACGTAGATCGCAAAAGGCAGGAAGATCCCCAGGGATGCAGCAAGGCTGCAAGCTAGGCAGCAGATCGGAATGATCATGAGGCGAAGTGAGCCGACTCGACTTGCCAGCACAAGCAGAGCGAAGGGCATCACAATGATGTCCTTCTTCTCGATATCCTGCCTGGTAGATGTAAGCGTGTCTGTGAACAAAGCAAGCTGACCTGCAATGCTGACAGAAACTTGCTCTTCTTCTTTCAGACCTTGCCGGTGAAGCTCTTGCACCAACTGGCGGACCTCGTTCAGCATGGCGATGACTTCCCGCTGCCGGTCTCCCACCGTCCACGAGAGCTGGAAGAGCAGCGTCTCGTTGGACGCCGACAAGAAGGGGCTAGGAAGGCCCAGTCGCGCAGGGGCCGAGGCCGAAAATTGGAAGTGGTCCGTCCAATTGTGCAAAACACCTGGGGGTTTCTGAAAATAGGGGAC